GCTCTAAGGGAGCGAATTTGGAGGCTTTTTTGGCGTGATGCTGAATTATCCATTATAGAAAAGAAGTGTGGTCAGTGGCGTTCAATGTTCCTGGGGCAGTCTGCCACCAGGGGATTGATACGTTCTGACGAACACAAGCCTAGCCACAGATTTAAGGGACTGGCAACCGTCCTTGTGACTTTTAACTGGTTGCTGCGTTACCAGATTTTTATGAAGGCTGTAAAGGTTACTGCCTACACCCAGTCGGGCTGTCGGGGTCCGGAAAGAAGGCAGGGGGCCTTCAGCCAATATCAGGGAGTCGCCCTGACCAAGAGGCTTCAGTTGCCCGCAAGCCTTATCCAGACCCTCGCGAAGGCAATAACCGAGATAAAGCAAAGAGAGAGAGAGATGGGGTGGTCCTCTGATGAGCCCCTTCCCCAAGAGAAGGTTTATGGAAGAAAAATGGCTTTTTAAAAAATATATATATTTTGTTTGTTTGTTTGTATGGCGCAAGCCACCTTGAATTTTTAAGTGTTACGCAGGGGCTAGTTAATTTAAATTCTCACCTAACTGGTTTAGCTTGGGCTTGAGGACCCCAGGGGCAAGATAACAAAACAGATTAGGGAAGTTTATTTTAGAAGTTGACTTTAAAGCTTATATAAAGATCCCTTAGAACTTTGGGGATTTTTGTTTCTAGGGGTGTTGTTTAAGATAGAAAAGGAAAATGGGGTGAAACGCTGATTTCTGAGGGAACATGCCTGGAATCAAAACCCCAGGTGATTCCACGTAGTCCACAGCGCAAGCCTGCCCGCAAATTTAAGAGATCCGGCGACCGCTCTAAGAGCAATTAACTGGTCATTGCGTTACCGGGTTTTTGCATTAGAAAGATATATAGATGGGGGTCTTGTCTACACCTGTGCGGGCAGTTGGGGTCCGTTAAGAGGGCTAAGAGCCTTTGGCTAACATCAGAGAGTAGCCCTGATTCTAAGTTGCTCCTTTGTCTTTAATGGTCCCATGCGAAGACTAAGACCGAAAATAAAAGGAGGAAAAAGAGAAGAGACTGCCAATCCCAAAGGGTGGGGTGGCTTAGAGGCAAAGCTGCCTTTGTCCTCCTGATGGGAGGTGATAGGAAAAAGAGATTGCCGATCCTCAAAGGTGGGACAGCTTAAAGGCAAAGCTGCCCGTTACTCTCCTGATGGGAGGGATACTCACAAACTCTGCACGTTCCAGGAGCCCCGCATTGGGTGCCAGCTGCGGGGGTCTCTCCCTCTCATCGTGGGTCATTGGCCACCGGTCAACGAGGGCAGGGGGAGCAGAAGCGGTGAACGGAGTCAGGACGGCCAGTGAGCACTGACGGAAGAAAGCCCTTCCGGGGAGGCTGGTTTCATGGGGCAGTGAAACAAATGCAGTGATACAGCTCCAGATTCAGTGAAACAGCTCCGTTTATTCAGTGGGAGAACTAGAGAAATTATAGTGTGGAGGCAGTAGCCAAAGCCTCAGCTAATAGGTGCTCATAGTATGCTTTATTTACATGTGGCAGGGGGCTCCTATTGTCCAACTATCAGGCAATGTCTGATTATCATATAGAAAAAAACCTGGGGGTAGTTTTTACTCTGGGTAACTATGCCAAAGGTCATGTTCCAAATAAGGTCAGGCATCCGTGCTTGGTGGCACTTTCCAGGTAAGCCAGGAAGAGAGCAGGAGGCGCCCTGCTGAAAAGGGGTGTCCTTCCATTTGGCGCCGAGCCCCTTAGGGCTATCCGGACATGGAGAAC